CATGGCAGTCTACAGCTTCCTCACAGAGGACAGTGAAGGGAAAAGTGCTGATCACAGAATCACAGAATCCTAAGGGTTGGAAGGGACCTCAAAAGTTTATCTAGCCCAACCCCCCTGCAAGAGCAGGGTAACCTAGAGTACATCACACAGGAACTTGTCCAGATGGGCCTTGAATATCTCCAATGTAGGAGACTCCACAACCCCCCTGGGCAACCTGTTTCAATGCTCTGTCATTCTCACAGTAAAGAAATTTGTCCTGATGTTCACATGGAACCTCCTATGCTCCAGTTTACACCCATTGCCCCTTGTCCTGTCACTGGACATCACTGAAAAAACCCTAGCTCCATCATCCTGACACTCACCCTTTACATATTTGTAAACATTGATGAGGTCACCCCTCAGTCTCCTCCAAGCTAAAGAGACCCAGCTCCCTCAGCCTCTCCTCATAAGAGAGATGTTCCATTCCCTTAATCATCTTTGTAGCTCTGCGCTGGACTCTTTCAAGCAATTCCCTGTCCTTCTTGAACTGAGGGGCCCAGAACTGGACACAATATTCCAGATGCGGCCTCACCAAGGCAGAGTAGAGGGGGAGGAGAACCTCTCTTGACCTACTAACCGCACCCTTTCTAATGCACCCTAGGATGCCATTGGCCTTCTTGGCCACAAGGGCACATTGCCGGCTCATGGTCATTCTCCTGTCCACCAGGACCCCCAGGTCCCTTTCCCCTTCACTACTGTCCAGCAGGTCAGCCCCCACCCTGTACTGGTACATGGGGTTGTTCTTCCCCAGATGCAAGACTCTACACTTGCCCTTGTTGAATTTCATCAAGTTTCTCCCTGCCCAATTCTCCAGCCTGTCCAGGTCTCGCTGGATGGCAGCACAGCCCTCTGGTGTGTCAGCCACTCCTCCCAGTTTAGTATCACCAGCAAACTTGCTGAGGGTACACTCAGTTCCCTCATCCAGGTCGTTGATGAAAATATTAAACAGCACTGGTCCCAGCACAGACCCCTGAGGGACTCCACTAGTCACAGACCTCCAGCTAGATTCTGCCCCATTAACCACAACTCTCTGCCTTCTTCCTTCCAACCAGTTCTTGATCCACCTCACTACCTGATCATCAAGCCCACACTTCCTTAGCTTATCTATGAGGATGCTGTGGGAGACAGTATCAAATGCCTTACTGAAATCAAGAAAAAACATATCTACTGCTCTACCATCGTCCATCCACCTAGTTACTTGCTCATAGAAGGCTATAAGGTTGGTCAAACATGACTTCCCCTTGTTAAAACCATGTTGGCTGCTCTTAATGACCCCCTCATCCTTGATATGTCTAGAGATGGTGTCAAGAATAAGTTGTTCCATCACCTTTCCAGGGATGGAGGTAAGGCTGACCTGTCTATAATTACCCGGGTCCTCCTTCTTGCCCTTCTTATAGACTGGCGTGACATTTGCCATCCTCCAATCCTGAGGCACCTCTCCTGTTTCCCACGACTTACCAAAGATGATGGAGAGTGGCCCAGCAATGACCTCCACCAGCTCCCTCAGCACCCGTGGGTGTATTCCATCCGGACCCATTGTTTTATAGATGTCCAGATTGCTTAACTGATCCCTAACCCAATCCTCATCCACCAAAGCAAACTCCTCCTTTATCCTGACTCCTTCTGGGGCTATAGGAATCTGGGTCTCCCAGGGAGAGTCTGCAGGAGTAAAGACAGAAGCAAAGAAGGCATTCAGCATCTCTGCCTTCTTTATACCCTCTGTCTCCAGGGCACCCACCTCGTTCAGCAGTGGGCCTATATTGCCTCTTGTGTTAGTTGTATGTATTTGAAGAAGCCCTTTCTATTGTCCTTAACTTGACTTGCAAGATTAAGTTCCAAGGAGGCCTTAGCTGTCCTAATTGCCTCCCTACATTCTCTAACAACTGTCCTATATTCCTCCCAAGTGGCCAGCCCCTCCTTCCATAATCCATAGATTCTCTTTTTCTGCATGAGTTTGCCCAGCAGTTCCTTGTTTAACCATGCTGGTCTCCTGGCTCCCCTACTTGACTTCCTACCCATTGGGATACTCTGATCCTGAGCTTGGAAGAAGTGGTCTTTGAATGCTGACCAACTATCTTGAGCCCTTTTACCACCTAGTGCTCTTTCCCATGAGACTTCCCTTAGCAACTGATTGAAGAGGCCAAAGTTGGCCCTTCGGAAATCCAGAAATGTGGCCTTGCTAGGTATTCTATTCCTCCCACACAGGATCCTAAACTCCACCATCTCATGGTCACTGCAGCCAAGGCTGCCATTGACCATCGCCGCTTCAACCAGACCCTCCTTGTTGGTGAGTACTAGATCCAGCAGCGCTCCTCTCCTAGTTGGTTTGTCCACCATCTGCATTAAGAAGTTATCATCAAGGCACTGGAGGAACCTCCTAGACTGTGAATGATTGGCTGTGTAAGTCTTCCAGCAAATACTGGGGTAGTTAAAATCCCCCATGAGGACCAAGGCATGTAGTCATGAGGCTGCTTTCAGTTGCCTGTAGAAAGCCTCATCAACGGCTTCATCCTGATCAGGAGGTCTATAACAGACCCCCACAACTGTATCACCCGTGCCAGCCTGTCCCTTAATTCGTCCCCATAGACTTTCCACTTGCTCCTCATCTGCCCCTGGACAGAACTCAATACGTTCTAGTCTCTTTCTCACGTAAAGAGCAGCTCCACCACCTGGCTTCGCTGACCTATCTTTCCTAAAAAGGACATAGCCATCCATGACCACATTCCAGTCATGTGAGCTGTCCCACCATGTCTCTGTAATTGCCACCAGATCATAACCTTTAGACCACACACAGACTTCTAACTCCTCCTGTTTATTCCCCATGCTGCGTGCATTGGTGTACAGGCATTTCAGGGAGCGAGCAGAGCACGCTAGTGGCACCCTTGGGAGGCGGGAGGCCTTCTGGTCTTCATTAATACTAGAACAATGCCCCACTAGTTCAAACCCAGCTACAACCCCCTCGCACTTTGAATCTAACCTAAAGCTCTGTGAGTGAGCTCTGCTAACTCTTGCCCTGGTACCTTTTTTCCCCTGTGGGACAGGGTCTAAACAACTATCCTTTCCCTTAAATGAAACAATAGATTGGGAGTCCTCCCTAGTCCGCCATCTCTCAAGCCCCAGCATGTTTCTCTTGGGCTTGTCCCCAACAGGCCCTTCTCCCCTTCCCCCTTCATATCTAGTTTAAAGCCCTGTCAATGAGCCCTGCTAACTCCTGCCCCAAATACCTTTTCCCCCTCTGGGACTGGTGTATCCCACCTGCCACCAGCAAAACAGGTGTCTCATATAGCAGCCCATGATTGAAAAACCCAAAACCCTGCCTTTGGCACCAGTCATGTAGCCATAGATTAATCTGCAGACTCTTCCTATTTATCTCTTCACCCTTGCTTGTAACAGGTATGGAGGCAAACACCACTTGCACTCCAGACCCTCTAACCAGCCGTCCCAGGGCCCTGAAGTCTCTCTTCATTGCCCTTGCCCTCCTTGTAATAATTTCATCACTGCCAACCTGAAAAACCAGCAGCGGATAGTAGTCAGAGGGCTGCACCAGATCAGAGAGTTTCCTTTTAACATCTCCAATCTGAGCCCCAGGTAGGCAACAGACTTCCCTGTGGGATGGATCTGGTCTGCAAATGGGCCCTTCTGTTCCCCTCAGAAGGGAGTCACCCACCACAATTACTCTTCTTTTCTTCTTGGTTGAGGAAGTTCTAAGGCACGGGGGTGAGTGACAAGCCCTAGGTGACTCACTAGATAGATCTACCCCTCCATCTCCGTTTACCTGGCCCTGTAGTTCCAAGACCTCGTACCTGTTATTCTAGGGCAACTGGGAGGGAGAAAGGGATTGCGAGGGTTTTCGCTTTCCTCTCCAAGGAGGGACCTCCCTCCATACCTGCTTGTCCCTTAAGTTCACTCCTTCTATCTGATGGTAGGAAGGAAGGCAACCCATCACTTGCTCAACCACATCCCTCTGCCCTTGCCTTAGGGTGTGGCTCCACCAATCAATTTCACTTTCTCATTCTCTGATGGCTCTCAACCTTTTTACCTCCTCCCTCAGTTCAGCCACCTGCCTGAGCAGATCATTTATTCACTCACACCGTACACAAGCAGTGTCACTGGCTCTCTCCAGTACGAGTGATTTACTGCAGCCAGAGACCTGCACGGTTGCATGTCTGCAGGAAGGCTCAGTCTGGGTACCCACATTATTCCTCACTGCAGCTTTTGATCTTCTTGTGACCATGGTCTATGTGGTCGATCTGTCCGTCTACGTCTCTCCGCACAAGCAAGCAGTCCTTCCTCCTCCTGCACTCCAGGAGAGTCCTCTCGATCAGGCGGTCACCCCGCGTGAACTGCCTTCGACCCGCTCTGTTCGCCGCACTCCTGCTCGCTCGCGCTCCCTGGGTCAGGTTTTCACTCAGTCAGGGCTGGTGCAGCTCCTCCTGGCTCTGCCCCCGGTGAGTCAGCTCCTCGCGTGAGCTGAGCTGCCGGCTCCTGGGCAAGTTCTGTCGAGGACTTGAGGCTCCCTCCTCAGTGGCTCTTGTTGCTCTGAGGTGAGGCCCCTGGACGCTGATCTCACCCCGCTCCGCTCCGGTGTTGCAGGCGTCCTCTCTCAAGCTGCTCACCCCGACAATCTCCTCTATCTGGTGACCAGTGACAGGACATGGGGAAATGGAATGGAGCTGAGTCGGGAAGTTCAGAAGAACCTAGGAAAAGGTTCTTCACAGAGAGGGTGGTCACTCAGTGGAGCAGGCTCCCTGGGGAAGTGGTTAGAGCACCAAGCCAGCCAGAGTTCAAGGAGTGTCTGGACAATGCTCTTAGCCATATGGTTTAGTGTTCGGTAGTCCTGCTAGGAGCAAGGAGTTGGACTCTGATCCTTGTAGATTACTTTATATTTGAGCTGCTCTATTATTCTGTGATTTTCCTAACACAGTCCGTAGTACAATGTTTTTTCCATTTCTGCATTTTAGGTGCCTTATCAGGAGCCAGAGAAAGCTGGGAGTATGATTCAGGAGCAAGAGACCTTCAGAGTCCAGACCTCCAGAGTAATTTTACACTACAAAAGGTGTTGGAATATGGTGGAAGCAATGAGACCCGACAGGCTTCCCTGCAAAGACTTCTAAATCAGGCCTCAAGTTTTAGCAGCTCTGTTGGAGGAAGCTACTTAGAACTTGTCAACACTGTAAGTGCATTTTGCTTCTGTTTTTAAGTTTTTGTAGAAGATTTTTATTGTTTGTGGTTTTTTTGTCAGTGTGTTTTGGTTTGTGGTTTTTTGTTTGTTTTCTGAAAGCAGCATATCAAGTTCAGGCTTAGAGCCTTTGAGCCTTCATGGAAACAATGCTACGCTGCTGCTGCTGCCGCCTTTCATTTACCAGAAAACTCATGTGATTTTAGCAGTTGGTAGGTGTATAGTATTTCCAAAGCTTGTATAATTGAGTTTCATTGAAAAGGGTAGGAATCATGAGGTGCTAAATTGAACTTCTTAATTTATACAATTTAACAGAAGATGTTTTTTATGTGGCGCTTACGGACATGGTTTAGTGGTGGTCTTGGCAGTGCTAGTGTAGTGATTGGACTCAATGATCTTAAAGGCCTTTGGCAACCTAAATGATTCCATGATTCTAAGATTTGTGCCTGAAAACCTCTTATCAATTAATGTTTTTTAAGTATGGTGTCACATTGCTCAGAAGTGTTGTGCAGAAAAATTCTTCATATGTTATTTCATTACTTAATTATTTGATAATTTTTTTAAACCCTTGGTGAGCTAGCACTTTGCTTTTTTATTTCTACAGGCAACAACTATTCTCCCCTGTAAAAAATCTGTAACTATTGTGCGTTCCACTGTATTGCTGTCAAGCTTATATTTTAATTTTAAGCCAGATGTGTTATAAAAGACCACCTATTTTGTAGCATGTTTCTGATTTATGCTTTACAGGAGTTTGAGTGGAGAAGTAAAAGATGTTAACATGAAAATTAAAAGTTTCTAATTTTTAAAATGACTTTATTTGCATGCTTGACTTTGAAACAGTCTTGTAGTTCATGGTATTACAGGATAATTCAGGCTGTAAGACAACCTCAGGTGGCCATCTAGTCCAACATCCAGTTTAACACTTAATGTCTTAATGGAGGTGGTGTCTGGCAACAGAGGAAAATCAATTCTTTAACTGCTTTAAATTCTTGTATTACTTGAAAAGAAAATGATGAAAAATATTCTGGAAGTGTTTTCGAAGGCCTTCTAAGTTTTATTTAAGTTCCTGAATATGGGCTGATATATGACCTAAAATTTCCATATTCAGAGTAGAAATATGTAGATATTAAAACTTATCTAAGGGAGAAAAAAGTTCAAGCAAGTTGACAGTCCCTTAAAGGAATTGTGTCCTCATTTTTCCTAAGAATGATAGTAAGGGATGAAGTGTGGTTAATCATAAACTCTTTGATCTTCAAAAATGGACAGAACCATATGGAAACTGGAAAGAGCAGAAAAATGGGCAGGCACACATATATTGTAGAGAGGTTAAAATGAAGGGCCTGGGAAATTATAGGTCAGTTAGCAGCTTTAATTATACTTTCCAGCAGTTTTCTGGAAATGTGAGCAAACTTAAATGACCAAGAGGCAACATGTGGATTTGTAAAAGAACAATCATATCCATCTAACCTAATATCTCTATTAACAGTTGGAGTACTTCCTCACACTGAAAACTGCTCTCACAATAATCCGCTAAAAAGATGCAAGTCTAGGTCTAAGGAGGATAATGGGTGAATCAATGTTTGTTCAGTTACATGTGTTCTGTAGCATTGGTTGACTTGCTTAAATATTAGCGTTTTGAAAGGACATGAGCTGTTGCACACCTGATTAGTTTAAAGGATGTACAATGCACTTTGACAGACGTTTTAAGTAGAGCTGCTTAAGAGAAATATAGCTGGCAAAAAGAATGACTTGCATACTTTTTTCCTGGATTAGAAAATGTTAGTTGCTGTGTCCTATTTGGATCTGGAGTTCATTCAGGTTTCAAAGTGGGTATGCACTTTGTATGTCCTCTGTCTATGCTCCTGGCTGATGATGGTTCAGAAATCATAGGCTTTGGTAACTTCTTGCACATTTGCAAATATAAAGACACAGGTGTGCAGTGTTTCTAGAATGCACAGTGTGAAGGCTACTGCAGTCCTGTGATGTGTAGAAATCTTAAAAATAAAAATGCTGAAGGCTGATATGAAATAAAGGTCTCTGGGTCTTACATTTTTCTGTCAGTTTATTCCCATCTCTAAATTCCTTCTATACTTAATGTTATGAAAGATGCCTTATATACAAAGTACTACTGTACAAAGTATACCAAAGTATTACTGTAACCAGTATTACCTCAAAAAAAAACCCCAAACAAAACAAACAAAAACACCCCACCAAAACCAACCCAGATGAGTACTTAGTAACTGCATTTCTTCCCTTTGCTAGTTGTTTCTTTTTGTAAAGCTGTATAATAGAAGGACAAATAATTAAGAAACAGACTCTGTGTGGACATTTCTCTCTGGAATTCTCAATTCTCCTAAAGTTAACCAGAGAGATTTATCTTCTTCATAACACTTATAAAAAAGCAGAGCAGGGCCTCTCGGTGTCATTCTTCTCTCAAATGCACAGTTCCTGGCAGCTTCTCCCAAACGCATCTAAACAGGCCATATGTACACACTCTTGTAAGCAGTTCTGAGAAATGTTTAGGCTTTAAACTTACAGGTCTAACAAAGTAATTGTTGTATGGGTGAACATAAATCAGTTCTTTTGCTTGGAAATCGTATGATTGTTTTTCTCTCAGCTCCTTGAACTGCTTTCCCTTTTTGGAGTGTCAATTCTTGTTACTTAATTTCTTTTTTTTCTTTCTGACAGTCTTTTGATTTTAAACGGTGCAGTCAGGCTAAAGACATCTCTGTGGTGATTATGTACTTCTATAGCAGAGATTATACTCCTCAGTCCATACAGAAGATCTTTATGCTGCCAGCAGCATTTAAGTTCTGGAGAGATTTGCAAAATCTAAATGAATGTCAGGCCATTATAATTTTGCTTGTTTTTATAAAGTGAAATTTTTAATGCATTTGTGAAATCCTGTGAACATACAGCTCTATAAAGCTTTATAAAAACATAATATCTCCTCTGAAGATTTTGTTCATTCACAGAAAGAATGTATATTTTAGAAAGTGCTGTTTGAAATTTAACCCTTTATACTCTTTGCATGTTTTTATCTGTTCGCTTCACATTATTTTGCTGGTTTAGTTTATTAACATATGTTGAGGTTCAGCTTTTGTTTTACCTAAATACCAGTGTGTAAATCTTTCAGTATTTTTCAGACTCACATTTTTAGATAGCTTTACTTTGATACCAGTATTTATGACTAACATATTAACCTTTAATATGACCCGTCACCACTGACTAGATAATGTACCTATTTCTGCTGGTAGGTTAAATACTGCAGCACATATCCCTGTTGAGAACCCTTGTATGTGTTCCAGATGTAGTCATTTATGAACTCAGTGTGTATTGCATTGGGATGTAAATAATTCTAATATCCTTCATGGATAGAAAAGGATTTCTTTGTGCATGTGGAAGTTTGAGAGCTGTTTTTTATTTTTACTTGGATTTTCAAAGTTGGACAAGGATAGTCATGTAACTAGTGAAATAGCTAATTGTGTTCACATCTGTTCACTTCCCAGGCAGCCATGTGATACTAATGCATTCCCTGTGGCGCTATCAGTATGCTATGTATCAGTAATAGCATGCTGTTGTAGGAGCTGAAGTATTGCTCTTCTCTGAAAAGATCACATGAAACATCCTCTTGATATGGTGGGCATATTTCACATAAGAATTACTGTTATGTTTAATCAGGTGAAGCAGTAAGAGTTGGGTATGTTTATTTCCCTTTTCATATTCTCTTTGCAAGTGATTAAAATAGACTAGGTTAACTTTTTTTTTTTTAAATTTAGAATGTGTGCCTTAGTTCAGTGTTAAGATGAATGTATTTATCGCAGGTAGATAAGTTTAGATAAGTATGGAATAAGATAAGTTTAGATAAGTATTGGTATTGTTTCATTTGCCAGTATAATATGATCTCCTACTTCCATTCTTTCTGCTGTAAATAACTCTGGTGGGCTGAGAAAGTCTCTGCACGAAGATCTTACATTTTTTTAAATGTGAGTGACCCCAGGTATGTTGATACATGAGGGTTTTTTTAGCTATTGAGTCCCTGGACTGATACGATTCTTTAATCATGATCCAGCATCCTTTAATCTCTTGATTTTTTCCTTCCAAATATACTTGAGCTGTATTGGCAGTTCTTTGATTGCACCTTCCCTGCTAGGGCTATTTTGGTTGAAAACATTTAGAAAGATTTGATGAGGATATGGTTGACTTCAAGAGGGGAAGAATACAGATGTGTTTTTGAGAATAGAGCATGGTAGGATTTCTTCATGATCACTTGCTTTTAGAAGCCTCTGTTTTACTTCCTCCTCAAAGCAGCCATGCAAGTGCCACAGGCGTGGTTTTCTTACTATGTGAGAGAGAAGGGCATATTTACAGAGTTGTCAGCATTGCTTCCTGCAGCATCTTGTGGTTCTGGCCAGAAACCACACAGGCATAATCCTGCTTTATTTTGTGCAGGGCTGTCAATGCTCTAGTTAGGAGAACATTGGAACAGATTGCTCCACCTGCCAAATCTGCACTTCTCACCTTAACCAGGGCTGGTTTTGCAATGTCTCCATCAAGAACAAAGTAGAAAGCTAATGCTACAAGATTCTTAATGCATATTCTCTGAATTAGGTTGCTTTTCATCAGCTATTCCTGCCTAATTTGCATGTGTATTTACCTCATTTGAAGGTGCTAAAAACCTTCTTGAGCTTGGGAATGGATCATTTTAGTCATGCATCTGTGTGACAGGGTATGCTTTCTGTACAGAAGGATTAAGGTGACTAAACCAAATTTAGTTCTGACTGTGGACTCTCTGTGCCAAATGCAGGTATAATCTCTGGTGGGTACACAACCCAAAAGTTTATAAAATACAAAGCCATACTGGACATATCCATAGCAAAGCAGTATGTCCTTGTACTAGAACTAGTTTTCATCATGATCTCTAGCAGGTGGGAACTTACTGTCGTTTTAGGAAGTGTCATGTTCTGCAAAAATAGATATTCTTACTGTGATACTTCTCTATTAATCAGATCTGGTGAATGCTTGCATTGCTAATTTTTCACTCCTTCAGAGCATTGAGCTGCAAGTTATGACAGACAGAACCATTGTTTTCAGGGACATATGGCTTTTTATTTCCCTCCTAGATAATCTGCTCTATATTCAAACAAACCTAACTTGCTGTTGTTGACTATGTATATATATTTTGGGTACAAAAGAGCACACAATATTATAATTTTGTTTACATATATGTCAGATTGTGACTGTAGTGCAGCTGGTTCTGGATAACTGCTTGAAACAGCATTAATAGGCTGTTTTATCCTGAGTCACAATAACCATTTGTGTGCTCTGAGATACATGCAGATCTAAACTATGTGATTTGCATGTAAATTCAGTGCTGCCATCAGGTTACAGAGCATATAATGATTTTTTGCAATGCCTTAAGTGCACTTAGCACTTTAGCAAAAGAGTACTATAGAGATGCTTGGTATTTGACATATATTCACATATGACATTCTGTGATGAAATTCAAATTGCTGAATTTAATCTCTTTGTCTGGCCCTTTCTCTATCACTTCAGACCATTTGACAGACAATTTTCTGTTACTTCCTACCTTGCCTCCTGGTATGGCTGCTGCTATTTCTAGTGTTCTTTGCTGTGTGACTAGCAGGGGATATGGCTATGTAACCAGCAGTCTTTCCTTACAGTGACTGATATGATCAGATTATTCACTGATAAGAATGTCTGCTTGTCCATCTTATGTATGTAAGCTTTTATTTGGCACAAGTCACTGTAACATTAGCATGTTTACAGAGTAAAAACTGTACTGCTTAAAAACCCTATGCCAGTTACCCTCCCAAGAAGCTGTAAATCTTGTTATGTATACTGTACTTTTTTAAGCTACATTTTTGGCTCATTTTAACTAGCTAGTAAGTGTAGATTTTAAAGTTAACTTGTTAAAAACAGGAAGGTGTGTCTGTTTACCAAAGAAAGCAAAAATATTCTTCTAGGGGGTGGGGAAAAAAAGGCCTCATAGAGATTTGCGTCAGTCTAGGTATACTCTTACAGCTATCCTAAATATGAACCATTTGCTCTGTTGTTTAGTTTACAACCATCAGCTGTAAATGAGATGAGTTTTATCAAAATTACACAGGCACTTCTTTTGGGAAACTGTCTTTCAAGAAAATTATTGAGGAAGATTGATGACAGAACTACACTGTGAAAGGTGATTCCATGGTTAGTTTGTAGGCTACTTTTCTTTGGTATCCCTACTAATGAAAACCTGTTGTAAAGTGCCTGATTTATTGTGTAATTTTTAAATGGTTTTATAACTCAATAATATTAGTATTTCCTTTTCTGGCGAACTCTGCCCCTTTTTCTTCTCCTCCTCTCTCCAAATCTGTTTTTAAATTAAGCTTCTTTGTTCCTTGGTTTGGGAAGCTCTATTCCTTCAGCTTCCCCACCCCTTTTCTTATTAAACAGGGAAATTTGGCCCCAAAGTATCAGGTACCCAATGCTCTGCAAACACATCTTTTTGGATCGGAGAGAGTAATGGCTTTCTATTTTCTCTGCATGAGGCTGGTGTGGACAAGGAATGCTTAGAATCTGTGTGTTTCAAGGAATTTATTCAGTGCTATAGCACTTTATAGGATATGTCAGGATTCAGTTACTTGTGCACGAATTGATTTTTCCCAAGTTACTTTGTTGGAAAATCTGTTCTGTATTCAGCATACTGTCAGAATTAAACTGCAGGAGCCATGTCTCTTACTTTCCTCCCCTTGCAGCCATTTGTTTTCCATGTCCTACATGCAACTTTTATTACAATTTGTTTTTCATGCCAGTAAAAGCTATTGAAGTTTTTTCAATAAGAATGCAAAATGTAAAATGTA